GTTGTGTGTTGTGTGTTGTGTGTTGTGTGTTGTGTGTTGTGTGTTGTGTGTTGTGTGTTGTGTGTTGTGTGTTGCGTGTTGCGTGTTGCGTGTTGCGTGTTGCGTGTTGCGTGTTGCGTGTTGCGTGTTGCGTGTTGCGTGTTGCGTGTGGGGTGTTGGTGTGTTGGTGTGTTGGTGTGTTGGTGTGTTGGTGTGTTGGTGTGTTGGTGTGTTGGTGTGTTGGTGTGTTGGTGTGTTGGTGTGTTGGTGTGTTGGTGTGTTGGTGTGTTGGTGTGTTGGTGTGTTTGTGTTGGTGTGTTTGTGTGTGTGTGTGCGTGTGTGTTGTAACCAGCGACACAAGCAGAATTCTCCCAGCCTAGTCTGCTGGGTTTCGAGGCCATGTGCAGCAGCTAGCAGTTGCTGTTAATTTACAGACTAGAATAGGACCCAATCCAGCTGCAATCAGCCATGCGACTAGTTTCCCCGCCTTGTCTGCTGGGTTACGAGGAGGATGTGGATCTGTTGTTGATTTACTCGGAACCCCCACTGGTGACCCCCGCGAAAATGCTTCCCCCACCTCGAGGAATTCAACTGTTTGGGGACAAACCCAGTCTGCAGAGTCTGCACTGCTCGGCTGGGAAAAAATTTGAAAATCTGGCTGCACTGGCTTGTGGCCAGTTTCTTCAAAACACAGTTCGAGCTGCACCGGGTCAACAATAATACTCCTGTGTGCTGGGGAGCCGCGGTGTGGCATTCTCTGTGCGAGGGGTGTATTTGCGAGGACCAGGGCGTACCAGACTCATGAAAAAAAATGGCCAGCGTCCATGCCCCCTGCAAGAAATTACAAGAGCCACGTATGTGATTTGGGCTGGAGTCTGGAGGACTTCGACATGCAGCATTTAGTGTCAGCAACTTCGCCTAGGGGCTTCGCGGGGCCTTATGGTGGTGTCAGGATTCAGCAAGAGGTCAAGTCCAACCTGCTCCGTGAAGTTCGCCTTGGAGCTGAGTTGCAGCAGATCCTGCTCCGGGCCCCTCGAACAATTGGCCTTGGCCGCTCATGGCTTTCTGGCCTAATTCCAAGCACGATTTTGCTGTGCACCTGCGTGTGATTCAAACCGAGAATGCCTGCAATCACTTGCAGGCTCCAGTATGAGGCTTCAGAGTGCGTGGAGCCTTCAGAAAGCTAAATGCCAGAAAACCTTGCACTTATGCCTTCACACTCCGAGTCTCCCAATTCCAAATCCGGAACCTCTACCCCAGCCTGTGGCGAGAGATAATCGGGGCAGCACTTCCAAAAGGCATGCTGGTGTAGGACTGGCGATTCGGCTCCCTTCACGCGACATGCCTTTCCCCAGTGCTGCACGCCTTTGACCTCGATTCTGTCCGGCGCAGACTCTCGAACGAAAACTTTGGATTCGAGGCGAAGGCATTAAAGCATCTTGGAAGGCCTTCTGCCGTGTGGACCCTCAAAAAAAGTACTGATGCATCGTCTTGAGCGAAATGCTCCACTTCGGGCCTTGACGTTGAAGGTCTTCCATCGTTGGGAGTATTTTGGAATCTACATTGCCGTCAACCTAGCTACTGTTCTATATCCTCAAAGTGTCAACATTTCGGTAGGCTTGGGATGTTTGGTGGACTGAGCCTTGACAGAAACAGGTACCGCTGCCATAATGCTTCTGAGCCACCCAGACATAGCGACCCGATGAGATAATGGGTGATGTGACGCATGTGAAATGCACCTCGGCGTTTATCTTGCGGTGCTCGGGGCTTGATGGACTGCAGCCTTCCGCTAGTTTGGCGTCAATGACGCGTGGGCGGACCGCGAAAAAGTCTGTGTGGATCAGGCCGAAGCAGTCTGCAAGTATGGCGTCCACGGACGGATTCGCCATCATCTCCAGCAGCCAGGCATCGTCCATGATCAACACGTCCGGATTGACTCTCACAACCCAATCATAGCGGTCGAACCATTTCTCTTGATGCCCCTTTGACCCAAACCCGTCAATCACGGCTTGAGTGGCGCCTGCTTGTTTCCCTGGTGTCTGATAGTGCTTGATGAAGATGTTGCGGAAGTGAAGTCGCTCGAGGTCTGTGCCGCTGATATTCACGTCCGTGTACAGGATGAGATCGGAATCTCGGATGAGGGTAAGCTGCTGTCCTGCAGTTTCCCAGCAGGGCATGAACTGCTGGTGCATCGTACCTTTGTCAATCTTATCGAAGGACAAGGACTGCTCAACGAACTTATTTCAAGAAAAGGATCCTGATGCCAACTCAGGAAGGCAGAGTTGCTCCAATGGGTGGTCATGAAGATTGCAACTCGTGGCGGTGCCTTGGCAGGTCGTCCAAAGGGCATGTAAGGTTGTGCTTCTCCACAGGTTTAGAGTCTAGAGGCGGTCATCTACAACCTCGCCTCCTACACATCTGCGAGGTTCTTTACCCTGCGACTGCGGACTTGCAATTCTCCGAGAAGCCGTCGCGCTGAGTTGTAGGACGCATTGGTCATCCTGTTCTTGCCTGGTAACAGCACCTTCGGTGGAGGATGTTGACTTCAGAACACAAGGTCCGTTTCCGAATTCTGGGTCTGCATGCCTCAACAAGACCCTCCGGCCTGGGTTCTAAGGTTCGGGTTTCCAGAGTTAGGTCTTGAATCACTTCCCACTAACTTTTGTGTCACTGCTTGTCTTATGTCGTGGTGTCGCTTGAACCCTGTTGCTCGTTGATGTGCCTTTCCGATTCGGGGTTTGGGGGTGGGCAGGCATTCATTCTTTTTCGGGTTTGCGGATTCTGGTGTAGAATTTGAGGTTAGCTTGATTCCATCGGGTGTTCGTCCTTGTTGGGTTCTATTTTTTCGGCGGTGAATTCCCTAGGGTTTTCGGCTGCCGGTTTAGGGTTTGAGGAACTTGAACTGATATCGACCACTGCACTACTACTGTACTAGTACCGTACTACGACGTGCAATCCTCCCCTCCACCAACACCCCTCGGAAGACCCCATCTCCGTCTCCCAGCCCTGGGACGCACCACCTGACAAAGCTATCTCCCCCTGGAGCCCGGGACTCACTGGCCTTAAGAGCCTATGTCCCTCTCAGGCCGGAATGCAATAGTTTCTATGCCGTTGGGGGGACGGCCGAGTCAGGATCGGGCATTTCGCCAACATGATGCCCCAGTTGCTCCAAGCTCCAACCTCCCGTACAGAGATACCCACAGAAATTGTACACATGACATCAGAGCCTTGCACACCTTTGACAGGCAATGAGCCAGATAACGCACGTTGAGCCTTCAACCTAAACTTATCTTGAAGTCACTACACCCAGCCTTCAACAGGCACTGAAGTGGCCACAAGCGCGCAAATGAAGCGAAGTGCGCGGCCCATTCGAGGCATCGCAAATATAGGGAAACTACGCATGAGTTCAGTGTTGGAGTGATTCAAGCCCAGCCCCGGACCCTTTACGAAATCGAACCTTGCCGAATCTTGCAGACTGATGTAACCCTCCGCTTCAAAAAACAAATCATTCGAGATGTTCATAATTGAAGCCAACGATCAGGCAATGTAAGGGTTTCAGTTCGTGCTGAAAGAGCCGTTGTCCCAGAGCAAGAAACACCTCATCTTCAAATGTGTAACTCAACATCAGCTCGCTTGCAAATTCTTGCCAAAAGCATGCGTCTGTCGCTCAGTAGGGCCCGTCCAACCGAACCAACCAACCAAGCAAGCAACCAACCAACCAGTACACAGAAAAGAATGGTGCCGTATTCAGCTTTGTTTATCTCCGCCTGAGTGCCCGTCGCTTCGCTGGAACAGCACACATTTGATGGTGCATCACCGATGCGGTGCTCTGCACTCATGTAAACGGCATCTAATCAAAAGATTGGACCGTCAGGGAAACAAGCGCCAAGGACCGCATTGAAGGACAGCTGGCTTGGCATTGAAACGCCTGGAGTGTATCACAACCACGCCATGTGTTCAAGTCGCAACAGAACCTTTTTTGCAAACCTGTTTGGCCCAATGATTATGCAACTTTCAGCCCCTGGCCATTGACTCTCATGTTGGCGAAGAATGGAATGGGCCCTTACGGCGCTAATAGTTGCCCCTGCTCCTGAGGAACAACACCGCATTCAGCAAAGGTGTTTGGCGTTTGGAGTCGATGCTCCCACTATGTAACGCAACCTGAACGAAGACCTAAGCGAGTCGGTTGCCGGCTCCCCCTAATTAAGTCCCGAGCATTGGCAGAGGCTCCACGCGCCAGCAAGATGAGCCTGCCAGCCCCGTGTCGCTCCACAGCCTCTGCGAACAAAGGGGGGCCGGAGGTTTCCGAGCGGGGGCGATGGTCCTTTAAGCACCGGGTCACGCTTTGGAGGGCCTGAAATCTGGGGGTCCGTGATGGGGGGGGTCGGGCTTTGGGTTTGGAGTTTAGGGTCCTTGCGCTAGGGATTTTGAACGGAGTTACAGGCAGAACTAACACCGCAAGGTGCCCTTCTTTTGGCGGCTTGAGCCAACATGCGTATGCATATAATATATACATGCTATGCGAAACATGCTACGTGAAACCTACAAATCCACTCACCCCTCCTAAGCCAGGTGGTCGTTTGACCCATTGCTTCACACGAGCCGCTTGGCTGCTCCGGCTCGTCCAACATGAAAACGCAGCCCCATGCTTTTGAGGTGTTTCAGCATTGCCACTTCAGGCATTGGTTTTGTGCAGATGTCGCTGTAAGTCTTCTCACTTCCAACGCGCTCCAGCTCAAGAGCTCGCGTCGAAACTTTCTCTTGCGCCCGCAAGTACCGCGTTTGCACGTGGCGTGCTTGGCCAAGGCCTTGCCGTTGCGGAGTGCCTCGGGCCGCTGAGGAATCCGCCCGGATCCTAAGTCCGACCTTCAGTCCCCAGTCTTCTAGCATCGCCTGCAGCGATAGTCCTATATGGACTGTGCTCTGACGATTGCGTAGAACTCGCTCTCCCCACTCGACAGGGATATGGTACTCTGCACATTCGAAGAGTGCTTGGCACAGTGAGATCCAAGCATTGTCACGAGTCCCTTCGTGGACCTTCGCGTGATGAGGCATCCCGCGTGGTCCGAGTCGCAATACATTACGATCTACTTAGTGCGTTCCTTCAAGTGCCACGCTAAGCTTTTAATTTTCGTTGCCTCGGCAATGTTTGGGCGGCGCGGTCCTGTGCTAAGATCTCTGCCCGCATCGTATGAGAACGGTATTGCTTTGCAAGCTCATAGTTTAACGGCTGTGACTCCAGCATTGCTTTCAGGTCACTCCCTTTCTTCTTTTCTGCTGGCGTCTCGGATGCCTCCGCAGATTCCATACCCAAGTCACGGATGAGTGCTTCGGCGTGCCTTGGGTCCGCCTCGTGTGTGACAGTTCCCGTCGTACGGTCGTAGGTCACAACCCGGTTCACGACAGTCATGCTGTCTCTTTCACATCCAGGCCCTATGTGACCATCACGCTTGAACTCGTACTCCTCAAACAGGATTTTGTCAACAAAGCGGTGGCCGTCCTCGTCTGCCAAGACAAGGAAGTCAGGAAGTCATCACCATGCATGCACCAGAAGTCTCACGCCCATTCCGGCATGATAGAACGTACACGGGTATGCCTTTCCGGTCTGGAAGCCGTGCTTCTTCAGAAGTGTAGTGTACGACCTTTGCCAGACGGCTGAAGCGTCTCCTGTGCCGTACATCGTGCGCTTTACCAGGCCGCAGAAGCCCGGTGTCGCGTCGCCTTCCGGAAAAGTGACGAAAACTCGCCGCTCTGCCTTGCCATAAAAAATACGCTCGTGATATATCTGTCAATTTCAACCTCAATTGTGTTCCAAAAGCTGGCCGCTTCATGCTTGTAATAAGGAATGAGCAGAGGGTTTTCAATCATTCCAAAGGTGGCATAGATGAGAATAGAGCGTAGTCTGGTATGAGTGCTGCCTTGACTTCGCGCACTACTAACCGAGATCTATAGTTCTCTGTCGCATCATCTCCTTTGTTTCGGTCTACCCATTTCAACGTTATGGGCGATCTTCCGGTCTCTTGCCAACATAAATTTTCATCGGCGTTATCATACACTTCTTGCTTCTTCACCCAAGCTAGCTCGGAGGCTCGTGCCTCGGCTATCTTTTCTTGGGTCTAGTTCGGCCCCGGTGTTCGCATCTATGACAGGCTCCTTCACGGAGTTTGCCCGCTTTAGGAAGCGATTCGTGGAGATACTCCTCATCTGGCCCTTCTGGACCTGCAGGTAGCGCAGGCCTCGCCTTGCTTCGTGAGCAGGGCCTCACCTACAGTGCCCTTGGGCTTCTTGTCCCGAACGGCCTCCTGGTGAGCCACGCGCTCCCCAAAGCGCATTCCTGCCCACAAAGCCGGGCTCCAAAAGAGCTTCGGCCCTGGAAGCATTGTAGGCTTGCCTCCTCCGGTTTCTCGTTCGGCCTTCCACTTTGGAGCCGTGGTGGCCAGGACTCTCTTGTTCTCCTCCTCCTGGCCTGCCTCGTCTTTCTTCTTCTCTTCTTTGGCCTTCGGAGTGGCGGCTGCAGCTTCGGAAGCGGACTCCGTGCTGGGGTGCTCCCGCCTTTGGCCTGGCGGCGTTCTAGCTCGCTCTGGCCGCGCCTTAAGGGCTGCGGAGGCTCCTGGGAGCGCGAACCGCTCCGCCAGGGTGCGTCAGAAAGAGCCCTAAACCTCACCTCCTTGGTCTTTTCCTCCTTCTTCTCCATCTTCTTTTCTTCTTTCTTCTCTAGCTTCCTTTCCTCTTTCTTTTCTTCCTTCTTTGCTCCGGCCTTTGGCTCTCGTGCTCTTTCCAGGGGTCCTCGCGACGAAGAGGAAAAGTCTCCGGAGCTGGACGCCCCAGGCACCTCGCGCCGGGAACGCCGTATGGCCTCCGCCAGGTTTTCCTCCTCCTGGCGCTTTTCCTCGAGTCTTCCCTCTCGGCGTTTTCTCGCCTCGGCCATTTTCTCTCTTAGCTCCAGCAGCTGACCTTTGGTCTGGTCGAAGAGCTTCTCGACGTCCTCCAGCTCGTTTTCATCTTCTGTCTTAGGATTCTTTGGCGGCATGGCCCCAAGCGCGGTCGGGCTGGAACCCGTTCCTCTATTTGAGCCACGACTACGCGGGTCTGGCTTTGACCCTGGCTCTTTCTCTCTCTCTCTATCTGCTGTTCTCTCTCTCTAGTGCTCCCACGTAAAGGTGGTTGGTTTCTGCTTCTTGCCAGCCTTCCTCCCAGTTCTCTCCCCAGTCTCCGTCTTCCCAGGTTTCGTCTCCTTCCTCTTCTCCTTCGTACGCCTGTTCTCCTGTGGTTTCCTCTCCTTCTACGTTACCTACTTGTTTCTTGCTCTTTCCTTTCTTTCCTTTCTTTCCTTTCTTTCCTTTCTTGCCTTTTCCTCCTGCTTTGCCTTTTGGGTTTCCTTTCCTTTTTGGGCTCCCCTAAACTGCTTTTGCGTTCTTTCCATGCTGTTGCCCTGGACCTTTAAGTGAGCCCTTTGGTGCGCCCTTGCCTCCACCATACCAGCAGTCCCGGGCAAAATGCCCAGTCCTGCCGCAGGTGTTGCAAGTCTGCTTTCATTTTCCTCCTTTGCCTTTCTCCACATACGACAAGTCCATCGGATCATCCTTGTTCGCCGCGCTGGCGGCCGCACCGGATATCACCTTACAAGACTCTTCCCGGTCTTGTACTCGATGAATCGAGTCACCTCGTCGAGCACGTCGTCGTACGTGGAGAACCTGCTCTGGTTCAGCTGGATGTGAGACCGCTCCTGTGGCAACATAGCCTCCAGCGCTGCCATCTTGATCTCATCAGCAATGGTCGTTCTCCGGCCCATGCTGTCCTTGCGCTTCTCGTAAGTGCGCACTACATCGGCCCATTCAAACGGCTGCACGTTGCCTCGCAAGCTCGCTTCTCATTCCCGCAAGTTCCTGCACCACTTGCTCTGCAGTCACCTGCGCTCCAGCTGCCAGGGTACCGGAACCGCTCATCGCAACCGATCAAGAACTCGGCGGCGAAACTCACTTGACTGGATCAGAGTCTGAAGGTGTTGGCCCAACAGACCCCAGATCCTTTGCAGTCGCCTAATCCGATGAAGCAAACGGATCAGGCGTGCCCAGCGAGCGGTCCACGCCAGGGGTTTGCACCACAGTAAAGCCCTCGTCGTCACTACCAGCTGCGTTGTCAGCAGTAGAACGTTTAGCGGCGTCTAGCGTCCATTCAAACCGGCAGCTCCGCTACCATAACGGAGTTTAAGGCAGAACTAACAGACACCGCAAGGTGCCCTTCTTTTGACGGCTTGAGCCAACATGCGTATGCATCTGTACATGCTATGTGAAACATGCTACGTGACACCTACAAATCCATTCAGATTTTGGGTTGTGGCTGAGGGGTTCCAAACATGTAGAGTTTTGCCGATTCTCCGGCATTATTGGGCTGCCCGAAAGTGTTTCGGTACCTTATCATGTAACGTTTTCCTATCTGAAATGTTGAGGTTCCTCGAGGAGTGCAACCACCACAGCAGCCAGCACTCAACGAATGTGCGGCCACCAAACCAGCGAGAGTTGTTTCGGGTCGACATGGCACGATACCTGATGCCAAACACACTAAGCCTACAGATCTTGAGACATTGGACCCACCCGCTTGTCTGGATGACATGAGAGCCTTTAGGTCTTTTTAGGCTTCAGGATTTGTTGTGGGTCCAGGGCATGCGGTCCTATCACGACCCGGCAGGCTGAAGCCTAGTTTGTTGTTCGGCCTCAATACCACATGCAAGAAAGACACCACCTGGGGCGGAAAGCTGGGCAGCTCTTTGTTCTCGAACAACTGCCTATACACCGAATCATATCTTGAAAGCTTCACAAGAAGGGAACCTTGCCTGAAAGCAAGCCTCGCCTCCATCTCCAGTGCTCGTCTCTCGGCACCCAACGTTGCAAAAGGCGCCTGAGGCAGTTTGTGGCCACAGTTCCGTAGAAACGGGCACACATGCATTCCGCAGTTGTACGACCGCCATCTGACATTCAAAAGTCATGTTTTAGACAGAAGCCGAAACGGAAGATGACACGCTTAATGCTGACAGTGACAGCGAGGAGGAAAAGGAATGCTTAAACTTACTTGAACTAACAGGTTTCTGGTTTCGGCCGAAGTGTTTTAAAATCAAACAGACATAAACAGACTTTCGACAGGGGAGAGGGGCTGACGATGATGAGACGGCGACGATGACGGTGATGACGGGATGGATGAGGATCCGGATGAAAGAAGCCACCGGCTGCGGGGGGGGTGAGGACGAGGGAGAGGGGCAGAGTGGGAGAGGGAAAAGGGGAGAGGGGGGGAGAGAGGCTGACGATGATGAGACGGCGACGATGACCGAACGTGATGACGGGGATGCAGGAGGCTCCGGATGAAAGCAGCCGCGCGGCTAATGATGATATAGCCATACAGCTGATGTTCCATGATGGGGAGAAGAATGTTGCTCATGATGTCGCTGACGACAAGGACGAGGACGAAGATGGGCATGGTGGTCGCGGCGGCATTGGCGGTGGTACTGCGGTGGTAATCATGATGACGACAGTGATGGTTTGGACTGCAAATACAGGGGAAGGGTGAGGATCGCCATCACGAGGCTTAAGGTACAGGACTCAAGCGTTACACCGTGTTTGAAGAACAAGGCATTCCGACCTCCTCAATTGAAGCCGGAATCCCAAAGCTCGTCAACCTGAACCTAAGCCGAAAACACCTGGCCTTGGGCGCCAAGCTCCTCGGTGAGAGGCCCTGCAAAAGCGGATGCTGACACCATACTCTAGGTCTCGGGTCACGGGTTAAGTAGAAATCTTTGGGGGTTTTCGGGCTCCGTGGCTTCGTACCGGGCTGGGCACACCCTTCCCGTAACCTTTGGAAAAGCGCGAAGTACAGTGCCGGAAGCGTGGGTCGATGCCTTTCCGTATGCCCCAGGCTTGAGGTAGGTATGACACCATTGACATATTCCAACATTATAGATCGTTAGACCGATTAACTGACCAATGAAAGGTGAGAGCGAAGAAATACATAAAGCAAGAGGACTGTCCAAGTTGAGCGCCCGGTGCAGCTACCCACGTGTTGGTATTGGGTGGCTTCAGGCTGGAGAGTCTGCGGCTTAGGCTGTCAAGGTGCTTCACAAACCATTTGACAGAACCCGCAACACGCCTGGCCCGCCAACCGTACGTTCATAAGAAAAATTGTCTCGAACTTGCTCAGGCGGCAGCCGGCCTTAATGACATCTCGCAAGAGTACCTGCAATACAGCGGACAGCTATAAACTGCAGAACCTTCCGAAACCCTGCAGCAGCAAACCGTGGATCCAAACCCCTGCTGCAAAAACTCGACCCCTATAGATCTGCGACACGAATTAAAGCCTTACACCCCGAAGATCCCTGAAGCCGAGTCTTGGAGTCTTCTAAGGCGATTCTAAGGGCTTTGGATAACAGGTCAGAGTCGACGAGTGCAGTCTGGAGTTTAGGGCCAAATTAGCCACGAGTAAAGTTGAGAGTTTCGGGGTTGGGCTTCAGGGATGGGGGCTTCTGGTCGGTTTGACTCATCGGGGCAGCATGGATGATATTGGGTGCATGCTTGCATGTTGGACTTTCAATTGTTGAAACGGAAAATGCGGAAAGCTTATCACCTCTGCACCGATTGGGGCATGGTTCGGTTTTGATATGTTTTGATGGTGGGTACGGCTCGGGTCTGGGGACTGAGACTGCTCGACAACTACAGCCATCCCAGTTACTATGAAGCATTACCCTAAGCATCTGAAGCCGAGTCTTGGGGTCTTCTAAGGCGATTCTAAGGGCTTTGGATAACAGGTCAGAGTCGACGAGTGCAGTCTGGAGTTTAGGGCCAAATTAGCCACGAGTAAAGTTGAGAGTTTCGGGGTTGGGCTTCAGGGATGGGGGCTTCTGGTCGGTTTGACTCATCGGGGCAGCATGGATGATATTGGGTGCATGCTTGCATGTTGGACTTTCAATTGTTGAAACGGAAAATGCGGAAAGCTTATCACCTCTGCACCGATTGGGGCATGGTTCGGTTTTGATATGTTTTGATGGTGGGTACGGCTCGGGTCTGGGGACTGAGACTGCTCGACAACTACAGCCATCCCAGTTACTATGAAGCATTACCCTAAGCATCCGGAGACCTTACATGTGACCATGTTTCCTAAGACCTAGGAAAACAAGACCTTTAGCGTAAGTGCTGGAAATCCAAGGACTTGGACAATCATGTAAGTTGAATGAAATGCATGTCAGTATATATGATGTAAAAAAATGTATTCAATCCATCAAATGCATGTCATTCCCTGTATTTCTCAATATTCAAATGTTATATACAGGTCAAACAATCAATACATATGATCAAAGAAAAATGTATTCAATTCAGCAAATGCATGTCATTCCCTGTATTTCTCAATATTCATATGTTAATACAGGTCAATCAATCAATATATATATATATATGATCAAAAAAATGTATTCAATTCAGCAAATGCATGTCATTCCCGGTATTTGTCAATATTCATATGTTCATACAAGTCAATCAATCAATATATATATATATATATATATAGTGTGCCCCTTACCAAACGGTTCTGCTGAGACCCGATAAGAGCAGAGCCGACACACGATTGGGCCGTGTGTGGGGGGTGGAAAATCCTCGGTTCCCGAGTACATTGGTATCGATGCCTAGGGCACTACCGATGCGGGGCGACAAGTTGGGGCCAACTCACCGTGGGCTCCGGTGTATGACAGCAGGACGATGGGCTAATGTGCCTGCTGGCTTGTCGGAATGTGCGGGAATCTGCATGTTCGCCGAGGTTTCCTGGTATTGGGAGGCCCACCTATAATCACCAACATACAGAATCAAATAGTTATAATAAATGAAATAAATACATATATAAATAAATCATAATAAATAAATAAGACATATATATGTATATATATCTATATTCAAATATTTATTTACTATTTATCTCTATGCGAAGCAAACCATTTTTGCCCGTCGCTTCGATCGATTCGAGCATCTCTTATGAAAAGGTTCCAAGAAGCCTAGA